CTTATTTGTTCTGCCTTTCTGCTAGCTATTCTTGAAATACTGTTGCCCTGGATACCTGGGTGTGGGGCTTTAAAAATTAACTTAGCTGAGAACTATAGAAACTTAAATTTAATTCAGCTGAGAACTATAGGGACTATTTTAATTTCAATCTTTTCATTAGCAAAAAGCAGAACACTACCCCCACACTCCACAGGGCATTTTCAGTGTCTTATCCATCTGGGAATATATACTGTCCTCTTTTTCAAGCCTCTAACTTTATAACAGGGAGCTCTGGTGGCCTCATGTTAAGAAACGGCTCTGTCAAGAAGGCAAGCAGCTTTAACCCAAGACCACCAGTAAGGTGATAAAGCGTCCTCCCTTCCCCCCCTTTACATCTACGCCCCTGTTCATCTTGAAGAAGCCAGAGAGTCAGCATCCAGTTCCCAAATCAATAAGACAGTTGGTTTAATTACCATTGGAAAATGTTTGTCATTCCTCTGTAGCATCTGGTCCCCACTGGACCCTCATCATTTCCTTCACCTGCTCCCCCCACCGACCAAACTGTGCAGCTCTGCAACTGCATCCTGGCCCGTCCTCACCCTTCTGCCCCCAACCCTCACCTCCTTGTACCCCCAATATGTTTTTCCCAAGAAAGAAAGAAAGAAAGAAAGAAAGAAAGAAAGAAAGAAAGGGCTCTGTAATCCTGAAAGCATGCAGTTTGAATCCACCAGTTGCTTCATGGGAGAAGAATGGGCTGTCTCCTCCTGTGTGATTAACTACCTCTGAAAACCCACTGGAGGGTCATCTACGGATCAACTTCAACTCAGTGCAACACAAAAACAACTTTATAGCACTTTCTAACCCTCAAATACTTTGAACACACCCTGTTATGTCCCTTTTCTATCTAACCCTTTTCTTTTCTCAAGGCATGTGCTTTCATTATTTTTTTGTTTAATTTCCTCATTCTTCTTTTCAAATTCAGAATTCTTCCATAAGAGGCAACCCTACACAGAAATGGGAGGGTTTTCTCTGTGGAATCCTGCAAGCTGCACAACGTCCCATTCGTCACATCCTTCTGATTCCAATGAGCTGTCCTAATCCCTCCCTCTGACACAAAATTCTAGTAAAATACTATTTTAAATAAGCAAAAATCTAAGAACCCAGGATTGGTAACACCATGGCATCAGCGCTGTCTGCTTCACATCCTGCTGCCTTACCTGATTTGGGGTAAGTCAGTGCGATGACATCTTCATCCCTCACCACAAATTCATCCTTTACTGATTGCAAGGTTTCTGCATTGCTGGAAAACTTTAAAAAAGGAATGCCTTCAAACCATATGTATTTATCATCCATCTCAAAGACCTTTGCCAGGCTTGACCTTGTTCCCTCGCTGGTTGTCGTACAAGCAGGTGGCTTCCTGTCTGACGCTGCTGGAGTCACTTCTTGAAGAAAGTCGGCACTGGTTGAAACGAGAAACTGAACAGAGAGAACACTTCAAGGTGTCCTGGACCTTCCCCTCGGTGATCAGCTCAAAAGATGAGGAGAGTTGAATGAACGATCGTATGATCAGTGAAATTCGCTTTAAACAAGCATTAGCTGACTCAGGGTTCTTTCCAAGGTTACATCACCAGTAAACAAGGACGTGAATGAGAGATGGACTGCTTTTTTTTTCCTTTCTGATCAATGTTTTTTTATTATCTCTTCCTGTCCTTTCTGTCATCAATGTTTTTTTATTATCTCTTCCTGTCCTTTCTGTCATTGTCATCTTCCCCCCCTCACTAGTTTATTTACAAAATTTTAATACAATTTTTTTTAATTTTTTTGTGTGCGTGTACCGTCAAATCAGATGTGACTGGTACAGGAGGAGATTGTCCCTCCTTCCCCGGCAGAGCCTCTAGTGGATTCGAACCGTGAGCCTCTGGGATTGTAGTTGCAGTTCCTCGCCACTGGGCCACCAGAGCTCCCCTAAAATTTTAATACAAATTTGAACAAATTCTTTCCATTTCCCTCACCTACCCCCCACATCAAATTGTACAACCCAATGATTAATCCCTGCCCCCCTCCCCGCACGTCCACATCCCTCTGCTTCCAGCTTCTCCCACCCCTCCTGGGTCCGTAAACTCATTCTACAATAACGGTCTTATACAATATTTATCCCTGTGGGGCTGAATTAGTTCACTCAGCGGAATGCTCTCCAGTCCCTCCCAAGTTAGGTAATAATTTACAAAGTGATTGCTCCTGCGTGCTGCATAGTATTCCATTGTGTGAATGTACCATGATTTCTCAATCCATTCATTTGTGGTTGTTTCATGGGCTGTTTCCATGTTCTTGAGTTGGTGAATAATGATGCTATGATGTATTTCTAATGAGATGTTTCAAACGGTTACTTAATATTCTCATTCTCTGTGCTCCCTTTATCTGAAGGCAGCTAGAGACTGGCTTAATAACTAAATTTTTACTCAAACATATTGAAAGATTTGTCTTTAGCCAAAGAAAAGAAATTATTCAGATTAATACATTATTTAACCTGGAAAAAATATATGGACACCATGTGAACACATGTCCTCAGAAGGATATGTAAATATGACCCAGCTATTCCACTACTTGAAATATACCCTGAGAAAATGAGGACGGAGGCAAAAAATGAAGTCTTGTACACCAATGTTCATAACAGCGTTATCCATCATAGGAAGAACATGAAAACAGCCCACATGCACAACCACAAATGAATGGATTGAGAAATTGCGGTACATTGATATAATGGAATATTATGCAGCACTCTGGAGCAGCTATTTTAAAAAATATGACATAACTTAGGGGATATTGAAGAGCGTTATGCTAAGTAAACTAATTCAGTCTCATACGGACAAATAAGACCATTATTGTAGAAATAGATAACTAGTAAAACGTGTATGCGAATCTAAGGGGGACGCTGGTGGAAGCAGAGGGGTGAGGGTGGGCAGAGTGGAAGATAATCATAGGGTTGCACAATGTTACGGGTGGAGAGAGGTGTGGATAAAGGAAATAGGGAAAATCTAGTGGGAAAAACAATGTATACGGACTTTGTAAGTAAACCAGTTTAAAATAAAAATTTTATTTTAAAAAAAGAAGTGTACTTAAGGTGTATGTGCTCTTTCGTTTTCATCAATTGGTGGAATTTTTTGGCATCTGCTAATTTTTGTCTTCTTGATATTGAGATGCAGTCCCTATTGAAGGCTATAGTCTGCAGCAAGTGCTCAAGTTCTCCTCGCTAGCATAATGTATGGTTCCGGAGAACCTCCCTCCAATCCTGATGCCACATTCATCTTTATAGAGTCCAGATTCTCACATGATTTGTTCAGCATACAGATTGAATAGGTGTAAAGAAAGAAAAAGGGCCAAACTCGCTCAGCATTTCTTAAGCTCAAGGAACTAAAGAACCAATTCAAACCTCAAATTTCCTATACTAAATGATGCTTTGGGCAAAATATTAAATTATCCAGGAAGTAGTAAAAGAAGCTGGGAAGAGTATGCAGAGTCACCCTACCGAAAGGAATTGACAGACACAGAAGAATTTCATGAAACAACATATGAGCAAGAGCCTGTGGAGATGAAGAAGTTCAAGTTGCTTTGAAGAAATTGGCAAAAAATAAGGCCCCAGGAATTGATGGTATACCAATTGATGTATTTCAATTAATAGTTTCAGGTAATAAGGAAGAAGTACTGGTACACTTACGCAAGATAGAATGGACTTTGGTGTTGCTGTTGGGTGCTATCCAATCAAATACAACTCATAGCCATCCTACCCACAACAGATACGAATCCTGTCCTCTCCGTGCCGTCCGCGTCATCTCTGACACACTTGAACCTGTTGCTGCAGTGATTGCGTGGATCCGTCTCATTGCAGTCTTCCTCTCCTTCATGGACCCTCCACTTTTCCGAGCATGTCCGTCTCCAAGAACAGCCTCTCCCAGCAACATGCCTGAAGCATCGCCATCCTTACCTGAAAGGAGTGCTCTGGTTTCACTTCCTCAGAGATGTATCTGTTCGGGTTTTGAGCCATCCATAAACTATTCCACACCCTTCCCCAACACAGTACCACGACGCAAAGACATCAGTTTCTTCTTCTGCCATCTTTATTCAGCGTCCAGCTCTCAGCTCGTAGCAGGTGACCGGAAAGACTGTGGTTGAACCAGGTGCACTCTGCTCTTCAGGATGGCACTGTCGTCTCTCTCCTCAACTTTCCAGGCGTCTCCAGATCCTCTGACTGCTGGTACCCAAGACATTGACTGTGAATGAAATCATGGACGGTGTCAGTCTTCTCTCCGTCTGTCATGATGTTGCCCATTGTCCCAGGGTTGAGGACTTTTGTTTCCTTGATGTAGAGATCTACGTACTCCATGTTGAAGGCTTCAGTCCTTGATGTTGTGCAATAAGCACCTCGAGCCCTCCTCACGTTTGTGTCATATGAATCGCAGGTCATTGACGAGTCTTCCTCCAATTCCGATGCCACAGTCTTCTTCATGAAGTCCAGCTTCCTGAGGAATTTGTTCAGCATACAGATCGAATAGGTGTGGAGAAACTTTGCAGCCCTGGCCCCCACCCTTCCCTCAATTCCAAACCACGCCATGTTCCCTGGGGTTCCTGGTTTTCTAAAGCAAGGGTGGTGAGGTGTCATTTCACACGTTGGGCATGCTATCAGCAGGATTTAGTCCTTGGGAAAATACACTGTGCTTGGAAATTAGAGAGTGACTGAAAAAAATAAGAGGTGCCACTAAATCTGGACTGACACAGTTCCTGGAACGAAGGCTGACACAAAACAGAGATGGTCAAAAGGGCCTGGGACCGGCGATTAACACGGAGAACCAGAGTGATCTTTTGACTCAACTCCCAGCTACTAACCAAAAGCTCTGAAGTCCAAGCCAAGCAGTCACTACGTGGAAGAAAGATCCTCAGTTTGTCCTTAGAGAAAGTCCGCAGCTGTGGCACCTCTGCTCTGCTCCTAGGGGCCAGAATCTACCTGCCCAGTGGCTATGCGATGTGGATCTCAAAGATCATTTCCAGAGATGTCTAAAACAGATGTCGCATTCTTGATGACAGTAGACTAACTCACAAAGATTGGCTGATAGGATAGCTTCGCAGGAAGCCTTTGGAAGGTGAGAAGGGAATGGGTGAATTAATACCATGGAGTTTATTTTACTGACATCAGGATCAATAGTTTGACTATGTTTACAATCCCAGGTCGAATTGCCTTTGGGGCAGACACCTCAGAGCATGACATATTCCAGATTAGCAATTTACTTAGGAGACCTTTAAAGAGAGTAATGGTACGCTATTTTTTATCTTGAGCTCTGATGGGCTAGTGGTGAGAAGTGGTGTCAATCCAGTGGCACCTGGGCTGAATCCGACAGATGCCTGACAGAAGGAGGATGAACACACACCCCCTTTCCATGTGATGTGCTGTTGTTGTTGTTGTTGTTAGGTGCTGTCGAATTGTAGACAACTCACAGCGACCCTGTGAACAGAAGGCCTGAGCACTGTTCACAGAGTTTCCGGAGGCAAGCCATTTCGGAAGTGGATGCCACTCCTGCTTCCAGGCTTGTTTTAACTGGGAAGCTCCACCAAACACCTGTTTCTGAGATGGTTTTGAAATTCAAGTGGGACAGACTTAAGGTCAAGTCTTGGTTCCCGTGGACTTGATTTAATTTTCCTCAACTTCAGCTTGAACTTGCAATATGAATAGTTGGCGGTCTGTCCCACAATCAGCACCCGGCCTGGTTTTCACTGCTGATATTGAGCTTCTCCACCGAGTGTTTCCACAAATGTAATCGATTTGATTCCTATGCATGCCATCAGGTGAAATCCATGTGTATAGCCTGCGTGTATGTTTCTAATAAAAGGTATTTGCAATGAATAAATCATTGAATGTGCAGAACTCTATCATTCTATCTCCAGCCTCATTTCTCTGACCGCATCTTTTCCAGCTACTGATCCTTCTTCCCTGTTCCCAACTTTTGTGTTCCGGTAGCCCATTATTATTAATGCACTTTGATTGCATGTTGGATCAATTTCTGACTGCAAAAGTTGGTAGAAATCTTCTATTTCCTCCTCTTTGGCTCTAGCTGTTGGTGCACATATTTGAATGATAGTGGTATTCACTGGATTTCCTTGTATGCATATGGATATTATCCTGTCACTCACCATGTTGTATTCCAGGATAGATCTAGAAATGACTTTTTAAATTATGAAACCAACCCCATTTTTTCTTACCTTTTCATCCCCGGCAGAGTAAATCATATGATCATCTGATTCAAAATGTCCCATGCCAAACCATCTCATCTTGCCAATACCTAGTATTTCAATATTTATACATT